AAAAAAAAAAAAAAAAAATAAAAAAAAAAAAAAAAAAAACCACCATTTACACATTCAACGATCAAAAAGCACAAACACTCCCAAACTGGGATAAACATGAAAGCCATTAGTCAGTGAAAGCCAAGTAAAATACAAATGAATCCAAACAAAACGCATGCTCAAGCTTTCATTCTTGAAAAATAATTTATTCAGCAAAGATGCATTCAATTGATCAAAAGTTAAATTGTAGTTACTTTAAATTATAATATTTCTGCTGTATTTGATCAAATAAATGCAGCCATCAGTATAAGATACTTTTTCCAAAAGCATCTAATGGACCAAAATCTTTAGCCATCTAATACTAAACTCCAACAACAAACTTTCTCAAATCTGCAAGGTCCCAGTACAACCACTACATTGGTTTGCAGTGAAGAAAGTGTATTCAAGTCTTTGGAATGGTCTTTTCACAAATACAGGATATGGTTTAAGAGAGGTCTAAGAGTAGCATGAGGTTTGAGTGACTGAAGCTCAGTACCTGTTGAAACTTTGTGCCTGGAGAGTGAGGGTACAGAGCAGTGTCCTCTGGAGGAGAAGTGTCCTGCTCATCAAGGGCCTCCTGCTCATCAGGCTCCTAAAACAACAATCACAAAGTGTTGAGCAGTGGATATAAAATATCTACATACAATAGAATGAAATGTAAAACCGTTGGCTTCATACTAACAAGGATATTGGTGAATAATGTCCTCTATAAAGAGCTCCTCACGATATAAAACATGTGAATTCAATAAAATGGGAAAGTTCAAGGCTTTATTGGTTTGACGAACAAGGCAAATTGTTAGGGGGACTTAGTGAAATCCAATGACAGATGAGGGAACACTATAAATGGACAACACAAACGAAACACTTACACTTTAAATTGATTTAATTGTTTTTTGAACTTAAGGAAGCTTCTGATGACTGACAGGAATTTGCCCATGGATGAACTGATTAGACAGTGGCATGACTATAACACTAAACACATTCTCCTGAACACGGTGTTCTTCCTCAGAGAAAGTTAATCAGAATAGAATATAAAACTAACACCACATCCAAATTTGCACAGTCACAAAAGCGTCTTAGAAGTGCAGGTTGTTTTCAGATCAGATGACCAGAATATCTTCCATTCCCAAAATAAAATCAGACTCAAACAAAAGAGAAAGAAAAACACCACCATACACAATTAACTCATCAGTGCACTATAGCCAAGGCTTAGAGTTTTCGATCACTTAGCTACCACATTAAGACTTGTAGTTGCGCAGAAAAACAGTTTGGACACATTGAGATGAGGACGAAATAACAGTTGATTTTGAGGGAGGTGGAAGATGAACACCAAAAAGTTACACAAGATGGCACCAGTGTGGCCGGGCCATACGAGCCTTACGGTGTGCTGTTGTTGGCCTGGCACTTCCCCTGGCAAAAGTTGCTGTGTCGAGGACGGGTTCCGGCCAGCGTCATCTTCAGATGCCACCTCGTGCTTCGTTAAGTGACACTATTTTGAAATGGCAGTTAATATTGCACACCGTTTCAACAAATTATGCATTTATGGCTGCATACATTTAACATGTGGAAATTTGCTACCAATTAAACTAGATAAAGAAAGTGCCTTATTTCTGCAAATCAATAAAATGGCTTTAAAAAACACATGGCATGAAATCAAGTGTAAATGTAATGAAACAAACTTATGCAAATATCAACATTTGTAACTGCTTTGCGTTATAAAAATTAAAACCTGGAAATAAGTCGAAAACTCAAAGCCCTATCTATAGTTAAACGTGGCTATTTAGCACAAAACATTTCGAGATTAGAAAAGATTCTTTTAAACCTCTTCAAAATTGCTTTCCAATAGTTAAACGTTTGATATGTGCCTGCCCATCATTATACAGTCATAGTGTGAGATTTCAGTGCTGATTTCAAAAAAGTTTGAATAAAGTGTTTCTCTACATTACACCAGTATTTACTGAAAGGGGTTCTTAAGGCAACCATGCAGAAATTTAAATACAAATGTAATTATTAAAAAGTCTCTAATGGGCAGAAGCACACATGTATGATTAGACTTCAAACTAAACATACTGCCACTAATGTTGCAGACAATGAGGGGTGGCATGAGCCATCACTTACCTCTTCTGGACACAACTCACAGGCCTTGGCTAAAGTCATACGGGCACTGTGGGAGCGCTCCAGGAAGTATCCATTAGAAGTCTCATTGCTCTGGACAGGAGGGGACCAGTTGTTATACGTGTACTGGGTATTGCCAGTGTATGGTCTCCGTTCCAGCTCGTCACCAAGCCACTCCACTGCCCAGGTCCACTTCCTTTTTAAATCTCCATTACTCTGGAAAACGTAAACCATAATCAGTTTTTACATGCATTTAAAAAAAAAAAAAAAACC